GACCTTGACCTATCTGTCCATTGCCTTAGATATCTTCGCGGGCGGAGGGTCTCCGATATTCGCAAGGAGGTCGCCTTCTTTGACGGCCGCAGTTCGTTTCGAGGCCGCTGTCGCAACAACTCGCATCGCAGCGATGCGGTTTTCGCCCAGTTGTCGTTGCTGCTGCTTTGACGGTGCGTCATTGGTCACGTCTGCCATGAAACGCAGTTCGATCCTGTCCACGCCCGTCGTAATCTAGCATGTGAGTTGCGCCGGGATTAGCCGAGCATAGAGGCGCGCGGCATGCTCCTCCGCGTCGCACTGCAAATTGCCCCGGGATGACAGGCGGCCCTGCTCTTCGCTGGCGACGGGCACCAACGCGCGGTCTTTCGTGATCTTCTGAGTCGGCACCGAGTGCAAATCCTCGATTGGAGCGGCCCCGAATAATCCCCTTTCTTATAATGGTCTCTCGCCCCCCTGAGCGTTTCCGCGCGGCGGTGGCGGCGTGTCCGCCAGATCCTTGAGCTTGGATACCTCCTCGTCAAAGCCCGCCATAGGTTTCGACAGTTTGAGACACTGGACGGCCCGCGTCTTTGCAATAACTTCGTGCATAATCAGAGCTGCGCCATCGAATGCGTAAAAATGGAATCCTGGGATAACATCGCGCTGCCGCGATAGACCAACGCGCGGCCATGGCCATGTTGGACATCGGGGAGTCGGTGGACACCTTGGGCCAGTTGCGCCGTAAACGCATTCTCGATGCGGAAACCATTCCTGCTGAGATACTGCAGGACCAAATGGACCTCAGGCGATAACTTACTCGCAGTCGTCTGTCGTGGGTCTGTCCTCACGCTTCGTTGGCAGATTGCCGAATGTCATAACAGGTTCCCCGCAAATAGGGCAACGAAGAAGACCATCGTCATCGCACGCGTGACCGCCATGTCGGAGCCGACCGCGCGGACAAGAAAAGCTCCCACGTGTGGCGTGCGCCGTGGATCTGGCTATTGCACCAGAATTCCGCCCCCGCCAACCTGCGCCACGACGTGGCCCGTTCTGGGCCATTCCGTGCGACGCGGCATGGGCTATTCCTTCCCCCGAATCATAGTTTAGCGTGGTGGGTCGGCGGTAGACCACGAGATCTCCGCATTTGTAAGTGCGTTGGCCAGGTGGTGTAGCGTTCGGGCGTAAGGCACGATTGGTTTGAGTTGCTGCAACGACTTGCGTTGTAGCCTCGATGGTGATATCCCCGATCCGTCGTTCACGGTTGTGGTATGACGTACCCCTGCCTTGGATCATAGTCAATGGTCGGAAGGTCTGGGGGGCTTGCAGGCCGTCGCCCGCAGAGCGCCTGGCAACGCGATGCACCGTCATGGGCTGTGAACGCGCTGCTCACAAACATGGCCTGGTGCAGCAAACGAGTGAACACAAATGGTATAGTATGTCTCTTGGGCTCCTCTTCTATGGCGTGAAGCGCATGTCTAAGAATGACGTTCCACGCCGCGTTGGCCGCGCGGTCGGATGTGAATCCAGCGCTCTTGATTTCAGGATCGCCTTAGCTGCGTCGGAGCTTCACGGATTGAGGGCGGGTCGTTTTCAAAAACTGGCTCTCGCCTCAGCGCCGCGCACATTTAAGGCAAAACAAGACAAGGCGCGCCGTGTCTGGCCTAGAAGGCCGACCCGCGGGGGGCAAGGCGCAGGGGCCGCAGCTCTCATATGCCGCTCCTGTGCACGAGCTCTGGTTCAAATGAATTTCAGTCCTCGGCGTACTTGTACAATATGTCTTGGATCCCTTTCGAAGATTAGAAACCTTTGAGTCTCATCGGACCAACGAGCTCTAGGTTTTCCCTGAGACCTCAGCGCGAACTGAGGCTCCCATTCTGCAACAATCCTTGGCCACTTATTCGATGACGATTGTTGTGTTTGTTGCGCCCATGCCCATTTCATGTTCCTTTGTACCACGACCCAGGAGTCAATGTTCGACTCGACCATCTTTGATTCCGCTTCTCTGGTGGATCGCTTGACAGTCCACCCACGGTTCGACAGTGTCACCCAGACCGGTGTTTGTCTTGACTCGTTTACTCTCCCTCTCCAGGATCATGCGCAGCATGCGTCCCTGGCAACGTTGCAACATGATTTCCATTGGGCTCGTCATTACCCAAATGGCAGCCCCGTGAAGGACAGTCGGCTTCACCACAGTCGGCTTCACCACAGCCGCACACATTCGTCTTTAACAATTGCAATGAATTTCACGATTCAGGGCGGTTCGTTTTCTTCAAAGTGGACCTTTCCTCCGCGCCGCGCACATTCGTTATTAATATTTGCAAAGCTTCACGGATTGGCGGTTCGTTTTCAAAATGTGGTTCTCGCCTCAGCGCCGCGCACATTCGCTTTTTACAGTTGCAAGAGCTTCAAGGATTGAGGGCGGCTCGTTCTAAACATGTGGTTATCGTCTCAATGTCGCGCGCATTCGTAGTCAAACCATGCAGGAGTTTCACTGGCTTCTGGGGGCAACGAACAAGAAATGTTTTCGGAACGACTCAGGACTGCCAGGGCGCAACAGTTACGCGGATTCGGGGTGTTGAAGTCCCAGGAATGGCTTTCTGTCACGATTCAGGATCGTCAAGACGCAACAGTAAGGTTGACACATGGCGTTGAAATCCTGGGAATGGTGTTTTGGCACGCATCGTGATTTTCACACAGCTGTCCCCCATCGGGGCACTTCGCTCAATGGAAATTAACCCTTTGTAGGGGCATGTGAAAAGAGATCTTGGAGGGAGGGTGTACTCCAACACCGTTGATGAGTCTTGGGTTTACATTGGTCCTCCTCTTCATCCTCCTCCCTCCTCCTCCTCGTGCTCCCCCTCCTCCTCCTCTTCCTCCTCCTCCTTCTCCTCGGGCGTGCGGGCGCAAAGGCGGTCTGTTCCGCCGTCCTCCTTCTCTTCCTCCTCCTCTTCCTACTCCTATCCCGGAGATGGTCCCAGAAGGTTGAGTTGTGCATGGCTCAATATAGCCTCCGACAGACCTCCAAGAGGCCCCAAGGCAGCCTCAAGATGTCCCAAGATAACTGAGCATGGCTCAAGCAAGCCTTCGCCAGCCTCGAGCCGAGCATGGCTCAAGATAGCCTCGAAGAGGCATCAAGAAAGCCTCCCATCGTGTCTGGACGGGCTGGTGGGGACACGCGAAACGTCAAGAATGTGCATCTTATTTCGATTCTAGAATCTGGATTGCAATGCATTCTTGCAGCGGATCCGTGGAAACAAGATGCCAGAATTACAGGCAATCAAATCAGAAGAGAAAGCACGGGAATGTCGAGACAGACAGCCGCCCAAGGCAGCCCCGGGTCGCCCCAAGAGAGCTCCCACGACGGCCCTGAAGGCGCCAGGCGGCCCGAGAGCGCCCCAAGACAGCTCCAGGAACCCCCCAAGAGGCCGAAGAGGACCCCAGGAGGCCCCCAAGGCAGGCCAAAAGCCAAGACAAGAGCCCCAAGTAGAGGGCAGAAAATCCACCTCCATAAGAATCACCCCGACACGCGAAGCCGCTGAGTAAACGCACCCAAGGAATCGAACAGGGCAGGGCCGTGTAATAAACGCCCAAGGCCGTTTGGTAAACGCCACTCATGGGGTCCGGGTGGATTTTCCTTCCTTGACCAAGACAGCCCCAGCGTCTCCACGGTGGTTTGCCCCACGGCCAGGCCAGCACGAGGCACACCCGCGTGGCCGCACGTTCGCTCCGCACCTCACCCACGCGGGCGCCTCCAAGGAGGGCAGCCCCGCCGCGGCCGCCTGCGGCAGCGCTGGTGCTGGCACAGCGCCCGCGGCGATTCGGAAGGAAGCGGGTTCTTGGTCCGCGTTGTCGTTGGTACGAACAGAGCTGCAGCGGAGGCCAGTCCACAAGAGACCTTCCACGAGAAACCCAACCCTGAGACCCCAGGACGTCCACGTGTGGGAAGGTCGCGCTTTCCACAGCAAAACCGTCGAAACCCAAGAAACCCAGGGCACCCTGGAGGCAAGCAGGGTGTTTCTTGGCATGGGTCTCCACTGTGCGTTTGAAGCTACCCTACAAAACGGGGTCTCGCCTGAGCCGCTGGCCCACTTGGCGCTCGTCGTCATTCAAGAGGGTGCTTCCCACGGTGGAAGGAATGCTTGCAGAGTCTTCTGAGGAGAGGGCTTGGGACGGAAGGATGTATTGCAGCATCGCTGCATGATCCTGAGCTTACTCTGAAACTCATCCTCCTCGTCCTGTTCGTCCTCCTCGTCCTCCTCCTTCCTGTCCTCCTCATTCCCCCTCTTCCTCCCGCAAGCGTTCCCCCATGGGCCCATGGGTTTCCACATCGGCTGCATGGTCCAATGGCTTGGCCAAGCTGTGCGTTTCTCTTACCCGACCTCGGGGAGCTGATTCAAGCGTCATCCAGAGCACGTCCGAATTTCGCCCTTCCACTTCTTGCCCTTCTTCCTCTCAAAGCCCTTCTGCTGCATCAGGTCGTGGATCTGGTCGCAGGTGAAGCGGCCCAGGTCGAGGCGTTCCTTCTCCTGCCCATGTTGGTCGAAGAAGACCAGGTCAGGGTTGTGGTGAGGGATAAAGTTGACCTTCAGCCCCTTGTAGGTGTCAGCGTGCCCTGGCTCTTTTATGAACCTTTGGCAGCAAAGAAACGGGCTCCTGAGGGACGCTGGTCATGGACCCTGGGGCTTCCCCGCTTCTTATCGTGAATCGTGTTCTAACGGTCCTGGCACCCAGAAAAGACCCTGGCTTGCCGTCAGCAGAGAAAACCTTAGGATCCATTTCCCTCAGGACTCCTGTTCTTCACGGCGAGAACTTGCGGGCCTCTGGAAGCTGGTTCAGGCGTCATCCGGAGCAGCTCTGGATCTCGGCTGTCCAGACCCCTTCCACTGCGCCGCTTCCTTGCTCGGTGCTATTAAGACGCTGGGCGATGAACTCGGCCATGTGATCGCTCTTCCAGCCCGTGAGGTCCACCCGGACGATGCGGTCAGGTTCCCTCTCGTTCTCGAGCTCGAGGGCCACGTTCACCCCGTCCATGTACTCGACCTCCAGGCTTGGGTACATCGGAGCCTTGCGCTTGATAAAATCGTGCAGGTCCTGGTCCCGATCCTCAGGAGACCAGACAACATATAAATGTATACCAGAACCGCGCGCGCGCTTCGCGCGCGCTTAGGTTCCAGCGAGCCCAAGTTGTAGTCTAAAGTGTTCGGCATCAGAGGACATTGATTGTCACAAGGATCGTGCACCTCAGGGCTCCACCTGCGGCCCATCAGACAGGTTTGGGTCCCCAAGCCCATGCTGGCACACCCTTCACAGGCATCGCGTCCCACAGGGAGACCCACGTGATTCCATCCCCAGAGACGAGGTTCGCACAATGGCACGCCCCTCACGAGGACCGTGCCCCGCAACTAAATGCATCTGCGGCACCAGAGGGGAGCTTCATAACATCGGGCCGCTCACTTCGGCGCACCTCTCATACGGATCGTGGCCCGCAAGGACATCCACGGACGGCCCGAAAGACAAGGTTCACATCCCGCCGTCCCGCCTACTTCGGCACACCTCGCACACGGATCGTGATCGTGACCCACAGGGATCTCCACCCACAGCCCCCGAACCAAGGTTCGCACTGCGCCCCCCCCTCCCCCCTGGCCATGGCGGTACACCCCGTCACGTGGATCATGCCCACAAGGAGCACCACCGAATTCAAGGCCCAGAAGATTCGAACAACGGCCCCCCCCCGCCCACATTGGCACACCTGTCACGCGAATCATGCTCCAGAACGGGCATCGTTGCATGGCGCCCCCGCGCCCATTTCGGAACATGCTTGGCACGGGACGTGCCTGGAGGAGGTCCACCTGCAGCCTCAGTGGGCGTGTTCGCGGGACCCTTCACGCGGATCGTGCCCACAAAGAGTTCAGCGCACCCGTGCACGCGTGCCCCGCGGCAGCCATCTTTCCGCATTGCCCCGGCCTCTTTGGCTGTCTTAAAATGATCCCGGACCGTCGGACGCTGCCGTAAATCTTTTTTTTCAGGCCTGTCTTCGCCGTCTTCGGGCCCGCTTGGAGCGCTTTGTGGCTGTCTTGGAAGCAATCTCAGGCGTGTTGGGTCCTCTTGGGCCGGCTTGGGGCCCTCCTAAGACCGTCTTTGGTGCTTTTTGGGGCGTCACGGGGCTATCGTGGAGGCCTCTTGGGTGCTCTGGGAGCGATCTGGGGAGCCTCTTGGGCCATCTGGACCGTCAGCAGGCCCGGAAACAAAAATATAGAAAAAACGTCAAAACCAACGGGAAATCGATGAATTTAGCTTCTTCGTGATTTCCCAACGGATGTCTTGGAGGCGTCTTGTCCGCCTCGGAAGCTATTTGAATTTATCTTGACCCCATATTGGGCCGTGTAGGGTGAATATTGGGGCCATCGTGGGTTTTCATGAGGCAATATCAGCGTTCTTGCAGGCCTTTCTAAAGCCATCATAAGCCATCTTGGCCGTCTTGGAGGCCATCGAGACCGTTTTGGACCGGGAACGGGGGGTCCTGGAGCCCCCACGGGGGTGTCCCGCGGTGTCCCATGGTGTCCCTCCCGGTTGGCCAGCGATGGTCTGGGGGTGTCCCGCGGTGTCCCGCGGTGTCCCGTCGTGTCTGGTGTTATGCGATGCTGTGGTGTGCTGTGCTATGCCATGCTGTGTGATACGATGCGATACTATGCTGAACGATGCGATGCTATGCTATGCTACGCCATGTTGTGCCATGCGATGATATGCTATTATATGCGATGCGATGCGATGTTATGACATGCGATGCGAGGGGCCGAACGGTCATTCACTGTCCCTGGGTGCGTGGCTGAAATGGGATTTCGCGGTGCGGATTATCGTTGTTGTTGGTTGTTGTTTGTTGTTTGTTGTTGTTGTTTGTTGTTGTTTGTTGTCGTCGTCCCACCCGCAACCCGCCCCGCGACCCACCCGCGACCCACCCCGCGACCCACCCCGCGACCCACCCGCGACCCACCCGCGACCCACCCGCGACCCACCCCGCGACCCACCCCGCGACCCACCCCGCGACCGCCCACCCGCGACCCACCCCGCGACCCACCCCCACGACCCACCCCGCGACCCACCCGCGACCGCGACCCACCCGCGACCCACCCCGCGACCCGCGACCCACCGCGCGACCCACCCGCGACCCACCCGCGACCCACCCCGCGACCCACCAGCGACCCACCTTCGACCCAAACCACGTTCAAGGTACAAACCACCATTTTCGGCGCCTGCGGCGGGTTTTTTTTGCATCCCTTCCAGGTGGAGAGCCCGCGACCCACCCCGCGACCAACTCGCGACCGACCCGCGACCCAAACCACGTTCAGGGTACAAGCCACATTTTTCGGCGCCTGCGGCGGGCATCTTTTGCATTCGTTTCAGGTGGGGAGCCCGCGGCCCACCCGCGACCACGATCAGGGTACATACCATATTTTTCGGCGCCTGCGGCGGGCATCTTTTGCATTCGTCCCCGGTGGAAAACCCGCGGCCCACCCGCGACCCATTCCACGTTCAGTGTGCAAACCAATTTTTTCGGCGCCTGCGGCGGGCTGCTTTTGCATTCCTTCCAGGTGGAGGTGGAGAGCCCGCGACTCACCCGCGACCCAAACCACATTCACTGAACAAACCAATGCCGCACAAGCGCGGCGGCGGATTTTTGCATGCCGTCTGCGCCCGCAACGACCTCTTCAAGCCCCGCGCATCCATCCACACCAGCCCGTCCAGCAACTTTCCCCTGGCGAGTTGCCTTGATCAGAGAAATCGGGGAGCATAAAGTGGAAAAAAGGATTGCGTTGCCGTTATCTTGGGAAAGGAGGGGGAGGCAGGAGGAGTAAACAGGGGACGAGGAGGACGCGAAAGAAGAGAGGATGTAAGGAGAATGTGGAGAAAGAGGGGAGGAGGAGCAGCAGGAGGACGAGGAGGGGGAGGAGGGGGAGCAGGAGGAGACGAGGAGGGGGAGGAGGGGGAGGATGATAATGATGGACGACAATGGGAGGACGATGGTGGAGGCCGATGAGGGGGTGGACGGCAATGGGAGGACGATGATGGAAGGACGAGGGGGGGAGAGGGAGGACGAGGAAGACGAGGAGGACGAGGTGGAGGAGGAGAATGACGATGACGATGACGACGAGGACGAGGACGAAAACGAGGAAGAGGAGGAGGAGGAGGAGGAGGGGGAGGAGGACGACGAGGAGGTGGAGGAGGAGAGCGCCATCGACAAGGAAGGTGGGGGCCACGAGGTCCGCCGGCTCGACGACGTCCGCGTCGCCCGCGCCCGCCCCCTCACTCTTATCCGCAATTGCGGGGTGCTATGTATAATATGCTACGCGATGCTCGTCTATGCTGTGCTGTGCGATGCTATGCTATGCTATGCTCTGCTGTGCGATGCAAGGCTATGTTGTAGCTCCAGTTGGTCCCCCCCCTGTCTCTCCCCCACCACCACACACACAACCTCCTTATCACCCGAAGGGTGGTCGTACATATGTAGGTATGCACTGGCAGGATCTCGCGGCCAGAGACGCAATCGCCTCGCGCACACTTGCCTGGAGCGGGGAGGGATGGGGAGGAATGGGAACGATCTGGGGGGAGCGGGGAGGGGTGCGGAGTGAGGTGTCTCGTGGGTCTCTTGGACTGTCTCAGAGCGCTCTGGGATCGACAGGCGCCTACGGAGGTCGTCGTGGAGGGCTCTGTGGGACGTCTTGGGGCGATCCTGGGAGCTTCTTGGGCCGTCTTGGAGGCCCTGTTGGGATGTCTTGCGGCGCTCTTGGGGTTCTCTGAGGCCGTCGTGGACGCTATTATTTTAAAAACGCATATGCCAAACATAGACGCTTCCCCGAGGAATTAGGGCGATGTGTGCTCCTTGCGGCCCTCATAAGTGTCCTCTTGGAGCCCTCTTCAAGCGCTTGGGGGGCCTCTCGGGCCGTCTTGAAGCCATCTCGGGCGTCTTGGCGCACTCTTGGACCGTCTCGGAAGCCTCCTGGACCTTCTGGGGAGCGCCTTCGGGCCCTCCGACAGCCCCCGAAGGACCCCGAAGGACACAGTGGGCACCGCGGGCGGAGGGGGGAGTTTTGGAAAAGTGGGCAGTCTCGGGCCCCAGGGGCCTGGTCGCGGGGTCCGCATGGTGATGGGCAGCTATGATGAGCGCTTGCGCGCTGCAGTCAGAGCCACCTTGAGCCAAAATGGCTACGGATGCTCGTGGGGCGTCTTTTGGGGCTCCTGTGGGGCCTCGTGGAGCCTCTAGGGAGCCTCTAGGGGGCCTCTTGGGCTCTGGGCAATTTTCGGGCTCCCTGGGGCAGTCTTGGGGCTCTGTTGGAAGCCTTCTCGGTGGTCTTTGGGCGGTCTTGGAGGCGTCGTCGGCTGTCGTGGAGCGCCGGGAGGTCGAAAACGCGAGACACCGAAAAACATCGCAAAAACAAATGGAAATCAAGGATTTGAACCTCTTCGGGCTTTCTCGGGATGCTTCTCGGAGCTCTCTGGAGGCCTCTTGGAGGCCTCTTGGAGGCCTCTTGGGCTGTGTATTTGCGGTCTCGAACCCATCTTGGGCCACGTTGGGGCTATCTGGGCTGTCTTGGAAGGGCTTGTCGAAGTCCCCGAGGGCTTTTGGGAGCTCTCTGGGGCAGTCTGGGAGCTCCAGGGCCGCTCCGGGGTGCTCTGGGAGCGGTCTGGGAAACCCTGGTCCTCCCATGCCCTGTCGTTCGTGGTCGCGACCCTGGGCGCCCGGGCCTCGTGCACGGGGATATCTATATATATATATATATATATATATAAATATAAATAAATATGTGTGTGCATATATAGATACATACATACATATAGACATACATACATACATACATACATACATATATACATATACATACACATATACCTTTACCTATACCTATACATATACGTATACATATACATATACAGATACATAGTCCCCGAGCCGACCGCGAAGGGGAAGTGATCCTTGACCGCCGCCACGAGCGTGTCCGCATCGCCCTTGGTACCATCGGCCCCAAGCAGGTGGTCGAGCGCCTCGAGCAGCCTGATCTGCAGCTCGTTGACGTCGGCTGGGACGCGGCCCTTCGTCTGGCAGAAGTCGAGGAAGGCGTCGCAGAGCGGCCTGTGGTTGGCGCGCGTGGCAGCGCCTGCTGCGGCCTCCTCGCAGTGCGAGCGGGCCGCGGCCGAGGCCGGCGACTTGGATGCCTGGCTCAGCGCCGCCGCGACCCGCCTCGGCCGGGGGACAGCGGCCGGCTGCTGCCGGGCGCGGGGGCCGGCCGCCGCAGGCCGCCGCCTGGCGGCTGACCGCCGCTTCGGCGGTCCCGCAGCAGGCGTGGGGGCCGGAATCGGCGCAGCCTCGGCCTCGGCTGTCGGCCTCTCCTCGCAGCTCTGCGAGGGCCCGGCGCCAGCTCGACTCAGCGGACCAAGCATGGCCGAGCGGGCCCTGGTGCTCGAAGAGCCGACTGCCCGCGTCCGCGGGGTTGAACTCGGACGGGATCCAGCGGAACCTGGGGCTGATCCCGCTTGCGAGACAGATGGCAGCGGTCCGACGGCACAACTGTAATATGGCGTGTGACGATGACCTCCCCCGATCCAGCCCGCAGCAAACCCCGAAGTTGTCGATGAGAAATAGCCTGATAGTTCCGAAGTTCCGAACGTCGCGAGCAGCCCGTCTGAGCCCCCACAGAAACGCCCGCCCCTCCTTGACACCGATATGTTCCTGATAACGTAGGGGGCCAGCATATATCGCGCGGTACCCTGTCGTCGCGAGCTCCCGAGAACCTCTGGAAATCCTCGATGAAGAGCCCACCCTGGACCAGATGGCGACGGTGAGCAGGCAGTGACGGTGAGGGGATCTTCGATCTCAGCGAACTCCTGGGCAAGGGCACGGCGCCTCGGCGCCCACTCGTCGGGATTCAGCCGCCTGTGCCTCCACCGCTCCCGCCATCGCCCGACGGAGGCCGCGGAGGAGACCGGGAAAATTGCTTCGCACACCGCCATGCCACGGTTCGCGGCATCGGAGGCCGTCACGACGGGCGACCACGGCCGGTCGAGCCTCGCAGAGAGAAGCAAGCTCACGTCGGCCATTACCCACGCCTCGTACCGGCAGGAGGCCCACAAGCGCGTCGGCATGACGTACTTGTCGCGGATGAAATCGTACAGCGACCGCATCACGCTGAGCCCGAGCCTGTTGAAGGACGTGAGCGCAACGTAGTGCCCGACGATGACCTCCACCTGGCGCCCAGTGACGGTGGGCCCCGAAGCCAGCCACTGCAGCGCCCCTCGCACTAACAGCAACTTGTTCAAGACCCGGCGCGTGCTCGGCGGAGATCCGCCGACGCTCGCGCCCAGGATCACCGCGGCGTCCGAGACGGGCGAAATCTCGTGCATCGCGAAGCCATGCCGCTCGAAGGTGGAGACGATCTTGTCGCGGAGCTCCCCGACGGCGACCGGGCCCAGCCCGATCACGTTCACGTTGTCGGAGTATGGGAGCTCGACAGGGCCGCCCTCCAGCAGCGGCAGCGGCCACCCGCCAAGCGCCAGGCGACTGGAGTCAATCCCAGCGCGCCGCAGCATTTCTAGGTGGACGCGCTGGACGAACCAGAAGGCCCAGGACCAGCCCATCGGCAGCGCGTTCAACGCCACGTGAAGCTTCATCTTTGCGTCGTGGAACAAGCCCGTGACGTCGAAGCCCAGGTGCGTCGCTTCTGCCACCGAGATTCCTGGCAGACAGAAGAATTCGATGAGCGACCCCAGCCCGCCACACTGGTAGAAGCAGGCCTCGATGTCCGCCGACGCCGTGAACACCTGGCGGCCCCGCGGCACCTCGAGCCCGCTCAGGCAGTCCAGCGCTCCGATCTCCATCACGGGGGCGTGGTGGAAAAGGATGTTGATGAGCCGGCAGTCCAGCACCAAACGCTGCTTCCCATTTTTCTTGGAAACGAAAAACGGGGTCACGCTGCCTCGGCGGCGGCCGACAAGAGAGATGATGCCGCGGGACTTCAACATCGACAAGAACTGGATGTACTTGGGCCGGCTCGCCCGGAACTCGAGGTCGAGGTATGGCTGCGCCGGCGCCGACATACGCCGCTGCTCCACCACGTCAGGCGAGGCGAGCAGGTCAGTCTCAAAGTTCTGCAAAACTGCGGCCGCCTCCGGGTCGAGCGCGCCCGAGAGGCAGGCCGCCCCCCTGCCGAGAGGGGGCAGGGAGACGCGGTCCCCGTCGAATGGCTCGACCGTGGTGCCGTCACCTCCATACTCCATTTTGGGACCCAGAAGTCGACGAGCGGCTTCCCGGGGAACGACGTGTTCAAAATCTTGCCTGGCAGCACGAGCGGTGCTCAGCAGATCTCTGCGTGCCTGATGCTGAGCAGGCGCCGGAGCCCCGCCTGGCGGACGGACGCACCCGTGCAGGGAGTTCAGGGCGCGGACCATGCCGTTGGCGTCCTCCCATGCGTGCCGGCGGAGGCTGCTGTGGCGGCGAGCCGTCCTGGACGATCCGCCACCTGTCTTGCAAGGCCACTCCGGGCCGAGGAGCGGCAGGGGAAAAAGGTCCCGCTCCACTCCAGCCGACTTTACCGTCGGCTCGAATTGGGCGACGTCTCGACGACGATCAGGCCAGGCCCAACCCACGTTCGCGACGCCGTCGTCCTGGCTGAGAGGGTCGATGGAGGCGGGCGCGCCAGGATGAGCGCCCGCGGGGCTCGGCCCGCCTCCGATCTCTCCACTGGTCATTTGTCCCCGGCGGCCTTGGCCTTTGCCTTGGCCGCCGCTTTGGCCTCGCGGGCCTTTCTCCTCTCCTTCTCGATGGCCGTCTCCTTGGACAGCTCAGTGGCGACATGGGCGCGGAGCGACGGCGCCACGTGGACGCCGGTGCCCTCCTCGTCTTCGCCCATGTACAAATGGGCTGAGTCCCACGACCCGCTTACGGGATCGTCGCGGTGGGCCGTCTCGATGAGCTGACGGCGACGATTAATGTACTCGAGGCACGTCAAGTTCGGCAAGTTCAGCCCGTCGATTTCATGTGCCATCGACAAGGCACGGCTCAGGACACGATGCTCGTGTCCGGACCTGCTGGAGGCTGGCACCTTCGAGTCCACCAACCAACGGTCGTGCGCGGCCGTGAACCCCCCAGTCGAGCCCTTCCTGAGGTCCGCGAGGGTGTCGGGCAGCGTGGCGGGGCCCTTGATCCCGATTGGGACGCTGGGGTCGCGCTTCATCAGCCTCACATCGTCGACGAAAGCCGACTGCTCACCGCCAGCGGGGCGAGGCAGGACACGAGGGTCCGCCCTCATCAGCTGCGCCTGGCGCTGCCGGGCCCACCCATCAAGGTCTGTCCCAGCTGCGACGCGCGTCCCGCTGACCGCCTTGCCGTTGACGGACACGAATGTCCGGCCCCCCACGTCGAGAGCGTTGGCCGGCAGGGCGAACTCCTGGCCGACGGCGAAGGAATCGCCCGGCTCGTCGAAAACCCATGCCCCAGCGGCGCCCGCCACGCGCGGGGCCATGGGAACCGCGGGCACTCCAGGAGCCACTGGCGGCGGCACAGGCAACGGGATGGGCACGACCGCCGGCGCATTGCCTCCCGGGCCGATGATGTCATCCTGCCCTGGTGGCGGGGCCAGGCCTCGCGCCGCCCGCTCCACTCTCGCGTGGTGCCGACCCTCGGCCATGAGGTTCACCAAGTCAGCTCCAGCGGGCCGAGCTCGAAAGCGATATAGCTGCGCCCCCGTGAGCCCAAATGGGATCGAGCCCGCATGGTCGCTAACCCTCAGAGCCTCGAGATCTGGATTAGAAGCGTCAATTTGTTCAATGTACACGTCAAAGTCAGGCGTGATGACGATGAACAGCGAATCTACCACCCACGCCAGCAGGATCCGCTCATGATAGAGCGCGTCCCCGTAGTTGAGGAAAACGGTGATACCTGGCTCCAGCGCCATTGCCCAATTAGGCGGTCACGATCTGCCCCTGTCCTGTGCCTGCCCGCGCCAGCAACCTTGCGCGATTCGACGCCGGCGCCTGGGCCGGAGGCTCGTCCACGATGGCCTCGGCGGCTGGGCCTGGCCGCGGCTGGGCGCCTCCCGCCCCAGCCTCTCGCCGGCGCTGGCAAGCGCCTGGCAGCAGGACCAGGCGCCCGGCCGCGAAGCCCACCGCGGCCCCAGCGGCGAGGCCCGCAGAGCCGGCAGCCAGAGCGACCCCGGCCGAGCCCCACAGGATCTCGCGGAGCGGCAGGGCCTCCGCGCACGAGCAACTGCCGCAGGTGACCTGCGGGCACGCCGGCTGGGGCGCGCAGGTCAGCGTCGGGCACGCGGGCGGAGCCGGGCACGAGCTGACCACAGAGGCGGTGTACCAGTGTGCGCCGATGCTGGCGATATCGCGGCACCAAGAAGCGATATCGGAATACCAGTACATAGGCCCTCAAAACTTGAGCCAGGATAGCCACGGACAGAGCAATACAGACATGTGCTGAGAGACTCTGCCGGCGAATCCTGATCATTCTGACCCGCTGCGATGCCAATGCGTTCCATGAGCTGCGACCAGCGGAGTTCACCGTAGTGCAACAGACACGTTCAAAACGCCAGGGGGGAAATTCTGTACAAAACGGTCGTTTTGTACAGAATTTCCCCCGCCCCCTCCCGGGCGTCCACGTTTATAAACCGAGCATCACTGGCATCTTCTGAACAAACTACACGAGGGGAGCTACACATGCTATTCTGTAAACAGATGGCATATATGTATACATATATGTTCATACATGTACGCATACATGTATGCATTCATGCCGGCATATAAACATCTATATACATACCTACATGAATGCATGCATCCATACATACATGCATACGTACATACATGCATACATGCATGCATGAATACATACATACATATAGACATAAACGTATACATATACATATACATTTACATACGCACATACATAAACACATACATAAACATATACGTATACGTTTACATATACATATACCTAAACATATGCATATGCAACTACATATATATATGTGTATGTACATATACACGTACACAAATACATATACCTATACATGCACATGCATATAAACATATACATAAACACAATCATCTATTTATACATATACATATGCATGTACATGCACAAATACTGATACACATAAACATGTACACATACACATACACATACATAGATCTACACAATTACCTATACATATACCTATACATTTACCTAGATCTATGCGAATCCGTATTCATACTCATATGCATATACAGATACATATACATTTACGTATATATATATATACACATAATTATACATGAACCTATACACATACATATACACATGCACATACATATATATACATTTTGATATATATATATATATATATATACACATACATACATACATACACATATACAACAATCCTATACATGTACATATACATATACCTGAGCATATACATATACATATACATATACATCTTAATGTACTTTGACACATACATGTACAGTTACAAATGATTATGCGTATCAAAACATAAATATTTACAGCTGCCTATACATATGTATATATATACAGTTACATGTACATTTACATATACATATACATATACATATACATCCCTCCATCCCTCCATCCACCCATCCATACATACATACATACAGAAATGCATGCATGCATACATACATAAATTGGAAGCCTCTTGGGGTCTGCTTGGGGGCCTCTTGGGGGCAAGCACGGTGCGAAGACAAAAAAACACGAATGCTGTTGACATGTACGTTTTATGACGAGAACGGGGCCATTTCTGCCTCTCGGGGCGCCTGGGGGGTCAAATTGCACGGGTTATGAGGCGTCTTGGAGGCCTCGTGTTGGCTGCTTGGGGCCTCGTGGGGGTCTCGGGGTCCTCTTGGGGCGTGGGGCTGGCAATTCCAATTGGATTGCCGTATCTTGAGCTCCTCTAGGAGCCCTCTGGGAGTCCGTTGGGGCCGTTTTGGGTGCCTCTGGGACCGGCCTGGGACCCTCTTGGGCTGTCTTGGCGCCCTCTGGGGGGCCTCGTGGGCCGTGCAGGGGCGATCTTAGGGACCCCTGAGGTCGTCAAATGTTGTGCGATGACGAAAATCACGAATACGGTAAACATATACGTTTTACGGAAGGAATGGGCCTATTTTTGCTTCTCTGGGCCCTCGTGGGGAAACGGGTTAAGACGCGTCTTCGAAACCTCTAGGGCTGTTGGAAACGTCCTGTGATCCGTCAAAGCCATCTTCAGAGTGGTGGGCGGCTGGCTGGGGCCGCCGTGACGCTCATCGGACCGCCCTCCGATGCGATTTTGGGCCCCTCAAGGTCCGGGTGGGCCCCCGGGTCTACATTTGTGGTAGAGGTCGTGGCCCCCGGGCCCCCGGGCCCGGTTGCGGCCCGGTCCGGTCCGCAACCGGATGACCCTCCTTTCCGCCTCCGAGGCGCTCTTCGTGGTCAAGGCTGGCTTCGTCTCGAAATTATTGTCCAAACGCACCCCGGGGCATCGCAGTTTTTGTTGCATCTTGGGCTGTCTGGGAAGCCTTTTGGGCGTCTCGGGAGCGTCGGGGGAAGGGGTCTTGCGAGTTACGTGGGGCTTCCTGTTGGGCTTCCGGGAGCCCAGGGCTGGAAATGTTCATTCGGCCCCCTCCTGGACCGCTGGGCTCTTGGGGGCCTCTTTCTGGCCTTCTGGATTCTGCTTGAGGCCGCTTGGGGGCCTCTTGGGGGCCTCTTGGGCACTCTTGGGGGCCTCTTGGGGCCTCCTCGGGCATCCTGGACAGCTTCTTGAAGTCGTCATGGGACCTTCTTGGTATGTCTTCGGGGGCCTCTTAGACAGAGTTTTGAAGCCTTTTGGGTGCTGTCTTGGGTGCCGTCTTGGATCCTCTTTTGGGTTTCTTGGGGGCCTCTTGGGGCCTCTTGGGGGCATCTTGGGGCCTCTTGGGGGCTTCCTGGGGGCATCTTGGGGCCTCTTGGGGGCATCTTGGGGCGGAGAGCTTTATTTTTCGGTTCGCGTTCCCTCTCTTGGGCCCATTTGGGGCCTTGTTGGGACGTCTTGGGCGGCTCTGGGGCCGTCTCGGGGCTCTCTCGGGCCATCTTTGGGCTCTCTTGGGGGCCTCTTGGAGCGGTTTTGGGAGCCTCTTGGGCGGTGCTTTAGCGCCGGAAACTCGAAACAGCGAGAATGCAAAAAACATTAAAAACCAAAAAAACAACGATTTTGCCCTCTCGGGGCGCTCTTGGGCGGCATCTTAAAGGCCTCTTGGGACGTCGTGGGAGCCTCTGGGACAATTCAAAACGCATCGTGCGTCGCCAGAGACCTCTGGACGGCGTCTTGGGGGTGTCTCGAGACCGAATGGGACCGCCGGGATTGCAGTCTGAGGGCTCTCGGGGGCGATTTTAGGCCTCCCAGCTAGTAGTAGTAGTAGTAGTAGTAGTAGTAGTAGTAGTAGTAGTAGTAGTAGTAGTAGTAGTAGTAGTAGTCGTGGGACGCACCCCATGGAAGCCATATCGCCGGAGCGTTTGGCTCAAATAGACCATGTACTATGTCACCGGGGCGCTCTGCCTACGATCACGAGTTGTTGGACGAGCCGGACATGTGCTCTAAACAGCCACCATTTCCTCACCATCGTCGAGACCAGCGTGAACTTCAACACGGAGGCCCGGGCACAAAAGAAATCCGTGGATAAATCGGCACTCCAGCACCAAAGCGTTCGATCCGAGTTCACGCGAAGGTTTACGGACTCGTCTTCTGCCCAGCCAGGCTCCCTAGACGATGCCACAGAGGATCTTCGACCCGCTTTCGCCTATGCTGCCGATGCGCTTCCTGACGGGGGCCCCCCGGCTAGGCGGCCATGGACTAGCCGAGCTACGCTGCAATTGATCTCGGATCGCGATGCGTGCCGCAGGGCTGCGGACTACGAGGGCGAACGCAGACTCCACAAACTCATCAGGAATTCCAGCAAAGAAGACAGAAAAAAGTGGCTGGATGAGTTTACTCGCGGAGGGAGTTGGGAAGCAACCCGGTACCTTCGCAAACCCAGGCCCGTCAAGCATGCTGAGTGATTCGGCGGACAGGGCGAATGTCATGGCAGACTACTTCGAGCACGTGCAGTGGAAGCGACGCGACGCTTTGAAGGCATGACTCCCGCAAGTGACGCGCCGCTTGGGCCTACGTTACCAGTCGACACAGGGTCGTTCACACTGGCCGAACTCCGGCGAGCTCTGGGCAGACTGAAGGTCGGGAAGGCGGCCGGGCCCGACGACGTGCCGCCAGACTTTTGGAAGGCAGTGGCGGATGACGACCTGGCTTGCGGTATTCTGCTTCGTGTTTGTCAAAAGTGCTGGGAACAGAAAGCTATTCCAGAGGCGTGGCGCCGCGCAAAAGTCGTCCTCTTGCTCAAAAAAGGCGACGCCGCGCTCCCAGCAAACTACCAGCCAATTTCGCTATTGCCAGTAGGATACAAAGTCCTGACTTCCATGTTGCAGCAAAGGTTGATCGGTGGTGGTGCCGAAAGCCGGATGCGGAATTCACAGTATGGTTTCCGACCAGGTCGAGGCACGGCAGACGCTCTGATGTTGGTGAGGCGCATGATAGACGCTGCGCACAACAACAACTCGGGCGGCATGCTGCTTCTCATGGTGGACTGGGCGAAAGTTTTCGACAGAGTGAAGCCAGACGTAATGTGTGCGGTTTTGCACAAGTTTGGGCTGCCTGCGGAGATGGTGAGCATGATCGGGGCGATATACGAGAGCCGGTACTTCGTCATACACGACCACGCGGGAACATCCTCAGAAAGACGTCAGCGCGCAGGGATCGCCCAAGGGTGCCCGCTATCGCCCTACCTCTTCATCGCCGTGCAAAGCGTCCTCCTGCACGACGTGTTCGACCGCGCTGATCTTCGTGATGAGCCGGCGTTATTGGTCACCAGGGAGGTTCTATATGCTGACGACACCTTGTTGGCCTCACAGCACCGAGAGAACCTGCAAAAGATTCTCAACGCCGTCGTCAAGGAAGGCGCGAAGTACGGGTTAGAGCTGAATTGGGATAAGACTGTTCAGATACAGATCTCAACAGGAATGGGTACCACGAGGCCAGATGGTGGTCCTATCAGCACGGTGCGGGAAGCCGTTTATTTAGGTGAGCTCATCACTTGCGACGGAAAGGCTGCATCAGAACTCTCACGGCGCACTGGAGAAGCGACTGGGGTTTTCAACAAACTTCGGAAGATGTGGTCCCATTCTTCCATAGGTCAAGCGCGGAAGATGAAAATTTACGAGACGTGTGTGCTGAGCAAGCTGTTGTACTCTCTCGACTCTGTCTGGCTATTACGCGCTGAGAGGGCCCGGCTGGAAGCTTTCCATTGCAGGAGTTTGAGGCGCATCATGGGCATCCCGTGCTCGTATGTATCAAGGGTCAGCAACGATGATGTCCTACACAGAGCAGTAGCACAACCGCTCTCGAACATCCTGGCCTCGAGGCAAATTGCCCTGTACAACAAGATCGCGAACAACAGCGCCGGTTCCCTGGTCAGGGAGGTCCTGTGCAACCTGGACGGGACCCCGCGAAGCTGGGCGACCGCTCGGCGGCGAGGCCGCCCCCGGCAGCAGTGGGCAACAGAAGTGTATATAATGGTCTGATTTCCATCATATTTCATTGCATGCAGGTCCTCCCCCTCTTCCCCCTCCTCCTCCTCCTCCTCCTCCTCCTCCCCGTCCTCTCGGGCTGTTTAGTCCAATCCGCGCTGGCGCCGATTGTGTGTCGCAGCGAATCACGGCAGGAACCGTGAGTGTCTTTGCCAGCCCACGCGTCCTTCAGGATGCATGGCCTTGTTGCTTGCTTGAACATAGACCTCGGACGTCCGCAGACGTCTGGCCTCCGATCATCCTCTCCTATCCTCCCAGGGTGCGCTTTGACCAGGATTTCTTGGCGAATCCAGCCAGCACTCCAGAAACGTCCCGAAACTCGATCCTCAGTCCGAGGTCTCCTGAGGTGCCTGAAGGTCCCCCGAGGTCTCAACAGGAGGAAACGAATAGAAAACACAGCAGCAGCCTCAACGCGGATCCAGCCGGGGCCGCGAGAGCGCCCGAAGGGGCCCCGAAAGCGCCGCGAGAAGACGGGCGTCAAATATCATCGATCCTCCAAGATCAGAGGGACGTAATGGTAGGGTAGGGGCAGATGTGGGGCTGGGAGGAAAATCGCTCTAAACGGCGCCTGGAAGAGGGAAACGTGAGTATCTAGCTGGGTGCGCTCCCGGACCCCACCTTGGGATAACCCTCCCTCCACGAACCCACGACAAAAGTTCTCTGGAGGTCTCTGGAGGTGCCCGGAAGCCTCCAGAGACCGACCCTCCAGCGACCCTCCAGACGTTCCCTGGGGGCCTGCGGAAGGCCGGGAGAACGTGCTGACGAAGGTCGCAACGCATGGGTTATCGACGCTGCTCCTCCTCCTCCTCCTCCTCCTCCTCCTCCGCCTTACCGCTCCCCCTCCTCTTCCTCTTCCTGCTCCTCCTCCTCCTCCTCCTCCACCACGCTGCTCCCCCTCCCCATCCTCGCTCATCGCTCCTCGCTGCTCGCTCCTCCCCTCCTCGGTCCTGCTCCTCCTCGTCCTCCTCCTCCTTCTCGCTCCCAGGCACACAGGAAGAGCCAAACGCCGTCCAGCGCATAGGCACAAACATCTCGTGAGAAAACTAAAGGAATAGATCGTAAAGACATTGCTCGCTTCTAGCACAAACGCGAAGACAGAGGAAAAGGACAGGGGGAGGCGAGGAGGATGACGACGAGGGGGCGAGACAAGACTGAAAAATGCACTGCAGCAGCCAACCATATGCGTGTGAGGCATCGTTCGAAGCGTTGCTCAAAGCAACTCTTCGGCCCAAAGTTGAGCAACGCAGGCGGAATCTGAGGCGAAACGGCGCAATGCAACGCTTCATGACAGCTTCAGAAACAAAGCACGGGGCGACCATCTTGTGTAGGCATTTCGCCCACTCCTGCCTTGGCCGCACCCAGGTCTCCTTAACCTCCCAGTGGCGGATGGCAGACTGCCAGTCTCGAAACTAAGCGCGCGCAGCACTTCACTGCCGATAGGTCTGTCAACTTTTCCGCACAAGAGCAGCTAGTGTCTTAGAAGATAAAATGTGTAGCTGGTCTGCCCGGCCTGCGCGAGCACCGTTTTTTCCTGCACCGTCGAGACATATGCAAACATATCGAATGCGACGCGGGCAAAGGTACATGCACGAGGCACCTTCATGCGGTAGACGTATGAGGTATACGTATGCAAGTTTGCTCCCCCTCTTGTAAGACTGCTTCCTAAGATGGCGGAGGAGCAGGGTCAATTCCATCGTGCTAATGATTCAAACTCTGTTTCGAGGGACTACGTTCGAAGCCACTGGCGCCTAGCACGTCTGCCGAACAGGACCCACGCGAAGCCTCCTCCCCCTTTGTTCCTTGCTACTCATTGCTCCTCCTCCTCATCGCCCTCCTCCTCCACCTTCCTCCTCCTCCTCCGTTTCGTTCCTCGCTCATCGCTCCTCGCTATTCGTTCCTCGCTCTTCGATCCACGCACCTCGCTCCTCCTCCTGTTCTTCCTCCTCCTCCTTTTCCTCCTGCTCTTCCTCCTCCTCCTCTTCCTCCTCTTGTTTGTCCTGCTCCTCTTCCTCCTCCTCCCTCCTCCTCCTCCCTCCTCCTCCTCCTCCTCCTCCTCCTCCTCCTCTGCCTCCTCCTCCTCGTTCATTTTCGCTCCTCCCTCGCTCCTCGTTCGCTCCTCCCCCGCTCCTGGGCGGACGCGTCGGCCAGCAGGGTGCCCTTGTCGAACCGCTCCACCTGCGGGGCCCGCTGGCAGCACCTGCTGCATTCATCGAACAGCCCCAAGCCGACGCCCCCGGCCTCCTCGAGACGGATCCTCCGCGCACCGCCGCCAACGCCGCCAAGGTGGGGGGAAGAAGAGGGGCGGGGGAACACGAGGGGGAGGGGGCGGATGAAAAGGGCATGGAGGAGGGGAGAACGGGCGAAAAAAAGGGAGGGAGAAGAGGGGGTGAAAGACGCGATGGGGGGAACATGGGCGAGGAGGGGAAGGGACAATGGATGAGGGATAGGAGTATATAGCTGGGAAAATGGCGACGGCAAAATGGTGATATGCATGACGATGAGGAGGAGGAGGAGGAGGAGGAGGAGGAGGAGGAGGAGGGGCATGGCGATGGTGATGGTGACCGTGGTGGCTGTGATGGCGACGCTGGTGATGATGATGGTGAGAATGGCGATGATGATGACAAGGATGATGATGATGAGGATTGTTCAGGCATCCGTTCGTGGCCAGACAACTGCCGCAGCCATAGCCAGTCGACGATGGCAGCTAGTTTGCAACTGCAGTCGCGCCACCGACCAGAGACGAGCGGGCGGGCCCGCAACGAGACCGTCGAGAACCCTCCTGCTCGTGTGTGACTTCGGCTACACGCACTGCCATAGATGCACCGACAAAAAATAAACACCGCCGACTGTGCAAAGTGTGCGACCTGGCTCTGCTGGAACTCACGAAGTACTCAAACATCGATCAAGGTTCTGAGCGGCCCGCGCAGCGATAACATCCCATAACCTTTTCAGCAATGAATGTGCACAGAGGGGCAGGGCACGGCTCCGCAACCTCAATCCACAACACACCGCCATCGCGCTTCCCCACCAGCTGTTGGTGGGCCTCGCCAGAGCGCGCACACACTCTACGACTGAAAAGACACCTGCGGGCGCTGAGACCAGAGAGGCCAACGAGGAAAGAAACGAATGTGGTGGACTATTTGAGAGGCCCGACCCCCATGCAAAAATCAGCGTGCACAACATTGACGTTTTGGCGTTTGGTCAGGGAAACGATTGAATTGCACAGCCGAGGTCGGGAGGTACGCAGGTTCTCCAGACTCCAAGGCACACGCCGAAGAATGGCATCGCGAAACATGCGGCGCCGAAAAAATGGGCCAAATTATTAGCCAACGACACTTTGCGTTGCAGTGAAGGAGGCAACCCAGACAAGCCCCACGGAAAGCCCTCAGTGGCGGCGGCCCGTTGCCTCTGTTGCGGAAGCGAAAGAACGTTTGGCACGGAAGGGCGACGTGAAAGCCAGCGGTGAGTCCGCCGGCGAGCCACCCCATCAGCAGGTTCTGGTTACTGGCAAGCGCCCAGTCATGGGCCTGGCCATACTCGATATCCCACCAGAGCACGTGTAGCCCCTCATGAGCAGCAGCCTGACCCAGCCGCCCAGTGCCTGAGAAGATCTCACCGAAAATTTGCACCCTCACGGGCTCACGAAGGGCTGGCGACGCCCGTCCGCCACGTCGCCGAACGAGTCGGCGTAGCGCAGCGCGTAGGCACGCGGATAGAGAGGAGAACGGAGCAAGGGAGGAGGAGGAGGAGAAGGAGGAGGAGGATGAGGAGGAGGAGGAGGGAGCAGGAGGAGAAGGGAGCAGGAGGAGGAGGACCAGGAGGAGGAGGAGGACGAGGAGAGAGGAGGAGGCAAAGCCTCAGCGTGTCGCAGGTGTGGCAGCCGAGCTGCCTGGGGTCGAACCCGAGCGCGAGGCAGCCCTCACCACTGGCGTTCTCGCCGTCCAGCGTGGCGGCGCAGCCGTCGGGGCCGCCCCTGTCGGGGGCGGGCTCACCGCGCCGCACCCCCAGGAAAAGGAAAAGGGGGAGGGGGAGGAGGAGGAGGAGGAGGAGGAGGAGGAGGAGGAGGAGGAGGGGGAAGAGGAGGAGGAGGATGA